CCCCACCCCCATCCCTCAACCCGGTCCCGCCTTCCTCTCGCTTGTCCCGGGCTACGCGCGGTGTTCAGCGCCTTGCGTCTGCGCAGAGGCTCGCTCCGCGTTTGCGTCCTTCACAGATCTTGGGTATCGACCCGGCTCCCGTTCCCGAGTCGCTCTCTAAGGTGGAAGGAGAGAATCCTGCAGTTAGCCAGGAGCCCAGGCCCTCCGTCACATGGAACCTAGGCTCGCCCATTGCTTGTGCGGTGGCCCCTCAGGCGACCACCAGTTCTGGCACCAGCCCGGCCTCGGCCTTCTTCCGGCGCAGTAGGCTCGGCAGCCGCCCTGACAGATCTGCTTCCTGCGGCCGCGGACCGCTCAGTCGCCGGTGCTCTTCAGGTGCGGCCCGGGGGCCCAGAGCGTTCGTCAGAGCCCGGGCCCCCGGGGGGAGCCGAACTCCCTCAGACCCCTGCTCCCTAAGCCGGCCGCGGGGACCTTGGCCCTAGCTCTTCAGAGCCTCGGGCCCCTCAGAGCCCGGCCTTTTCTTAGACCCCAGGGGAGTATGAATTTCCCAGCCCAGCGCCTCGCCCGCCGTGGGGCCCGAACGCCCTCAGTCCAGACTCCAAGGGAGTCTGGAATTCCCACCTCCAACCCACATATCCTCCGAATCGCCGCGGGCCCGGCCCTCTAGTGTTCCAGGTTTGACGTCGTGTATCCCGAGGGTCCCTAGCGCCCTCTGGGCCGAGCCTTGAACTTCCTTAGAGAGAGAACTTCCTGATGAGGCGCAGGTCCCCTCAGGCCTGACACTCCCCTCCTCAGCCTCTACTTTCCGCAGTGGCCCAGGGAAAGCCCCCAGTTCCCTCAGCCGGTCCCCAATCCCCACAGACCCCAGTTTCCCCTCCCCTCCTCCATTTCACAGCCCCCTCACAGCATCCTCCAGGCTCCCACAGAGACCTTGCTTTGGAAAGCAATTTGGTTCAAAATGATCATTATTTATTACTTGAAAGGGAATATTTCCATAAAACTGCCTTTTTTCCCCCTTCCCAGCAATTAGTGGTAAATTAGGCACACCACTGAGTGAGTGAAGACTGTTTCATGTGTCTTTATTTTAGGTCTTTTTTGTTTGTTTTTCTAACGGAATTTGGGAGACTTTTGTGAGCATCTTGATCTCTAAACTAGCCTTTTCAAACACCTCATGTCTTTGCTGTCAGAAAAAATGTAAATGGGAGATAAGGGGTGTTTGTTTCTACTAGTTTGTAAATGTAAAAACATTCATAAAACTACAGTTCCAAACTGGCTGAAAATGAATTAGGAAAAATTTTAATCCTTCAAAATGTTTTATCCTTTAAAAATTGTCCTATCAAAATAATATACACTTATCATAGAAAGATCAGGCAAGCAAAATGAATGGCTAGAGACAATCACTATTACCATGTTGGTGTATATTGTTCCAGATCTATTCATATATATGTACTGCAACATGCTTACACATTTTTTTTTGCGGGGGCTTGGGGGGGGTATATGTCACAAAACAGTTTACTATTTTGTAATCTTTTTTCCCCCACCCAATACACTTTGGATGTCTGTTTTATTCATAACTGCATAATATTTTATTGTATGACCTAACCACAATTTATTCATTTGCTTCCCTATTGTGTATATAGGTAGTTTCCAAATTTTAGAAAGAAAATATTATGAATAATTATTTTTAAGTGGAAAAAAATATGTAGTTGCAAAACCACTTCACGGTGTCACCAAATTATCAAAAAGTGAAAACTCAAGGCCTGGTATTATCCATTTTTGACCACTTCCTCATTTTGACCAAATTGTTATCTCTAGTTTGGCCTGGAGCACCTGGCTCCATTCCATCACACCCCATCCCATCCCAACTTCTACCTCTCACCCTCCAGAGTCTCCTCAAGTCCTTGTCCACCCCAAACTTCCTTCACTTTTCCAGACTTTTCCCAAACCCTTTTCCCTTAGAATTCCCCCATCAACCAACCTAACCTCTATCCAAACACTTTATTCTCTTTTTTCCTGTTTCCTCTGACCTCCCCCACCCAGATCCCCCTTATACCTAGGCTTGAGCAGTGCCCCCCCACCTCAACCCCCCTCAGATTCATCCCTCTGACTTTGCTTCTTTCATCTAAGATCCTTGCCTCCCATTTCAAACTGTGTTTTCTTAAGATGACTGCTCCTGTGAACAGTTCTGAATCCCTGTTGACACTTCTCTTGTGGATTACTTTGACCTTTCTACATCCTTCTCAGGATGGTTTTCCCTCTCAGCATCCAAGAAACACCCATTTAGCGCACATTTGCTACAAGAAGAAACCTAGGCCTACTCCCTTGCTCCTCTGAGAACTATGACAGGGTGGTGCCTCTCCCACGAAACTTGGGGAAGCCTCAGCCACTACCCCAGGATCCCATCAGATCAGGTCCTGTCCTAGCCCTGGCCTAGCCATCAAGCCTGTACTACCTTCTCCTCCCTCTCCAGCTTAATGAATTCCAGTGAAGCAGCAGTGAAAAAATTTTTACCCAAGAGCCACTTATCTCGGGTGATTATTCGTGACAACCTCAGTGCACAACGAATCTATGAGATGGAGGTAAAGTTGTCACAAGCTTTTGCATTAGAGGGTGTTAGTGGCTTGATCCATGTTCATTTCACTCTCCCCAAAACTTTGTGGGGAGACCACAGATCTTAGAGGTGATAGGAAGCCATCAAAGTACTCTAATACAAGCCCATTTTACAGAGGAGGCAGTTGAGACTCAGGGTTACTGATTTGCCCAAGGTGTCACAGCTGTTCCTGGGCTGAGGGAACCAAGGAGGACTCCATGTCTCTTGGCTCCGGTGGCATTTTTTTCCCTCAAAGTACATTAGCTTTCTATTTAGGGACTCCCTGAAAGGATTCCTACTATCTCCCATAAAAAGAAGTCTTGGCTCTTAGAGCTTGAAGTGGCATTGACACCATTTGATCATTTTTTTCTTTCAGGTATTATCCCCCACTTTCCACATGAGAACTGAGGCTCTTCTACTTTTTATTTATGGACAAGAAGGGTTTGACCTGCTTACCCAGAAGCCCTCAGAAGAAGAGGGAAACCACAGCATCATCATCCCACAGACCCTGATTAATTCATTAAATACATCTTTGGGGCCTGCTTGGGACAGGCACTGTTTTGGGCACTAGGAAGAGGCTAGTGAACATGATGGACTCTGAGAACATACTTGTTTCTTCCAGCAGAGCAGGCAGCCCAGAGTTGAGCTGCTGTCTCCTTGACTCTGTTGAACCTCCCTGCATGTTGCAGGACCAAATCTGGATGGCGCATGGGATTCTGACATTGAAAACAGTGGGAAAGATGTAAGAGATGGTGTCAGATCCTCTTAAGGGTCACAGAGACCAAAAGAAGACTGGAGGCCTGGATGTTTCTCCCTCTGCTAAACTTCCAGTGGCGTGGTATAGTGGAAATAGGGTGGACTTGGACATGGGCAGGCCAGCTTTGTGTGAACTTGGAGAGTCACTTTTCCTCCAGGACTCTCTTCTCATTTGTAAAATAGGATCTGTTGGGATCCTCTCAGTTGCAGGTGACACAAACTGAACTTGAACTCGTTCAAGCAAAATAGAGAATGATGAGTTTACATAATCAAGGGTAGATAGGGCAGGGTCACCAATGTTTGGGATGAGAGATGTCAGGGGCTTCAATGCCATTGGATGTGTCTTCCACTCTCCCTATCAGCTCCCCTTCTGCTGCTTTCTGCATGTTGGCATCGTCATCAGGCTGGCTGTCCCTGGGGAGCATGGCCACAGGAAACCCTGGCATGTAGCCCAGAAAGGAAATGGAGTGCTTCCATTGTTGGTCAAGTTAGACAAATCCTGGAGAAGGACTCCAGTTGGCTCAAGTTGGGTCATGGGCCCATCCATGCCCCAGTCACTGTGGTCAGGTAGTGTAGGCTACTCTGATTGGCCCAGGATGGGTTGGGGGCCAACCCCTATAACCAGTGGGTTTGGAGATATTGCACCTCTGGTAAGTGGAGTGAGCATCTGTGAGATATAACTGGAAACTCTCTTGAGTTGGCTTTATATGTGCCATCCTCCAGCCATCCAGAAGGTCTCCTTTTGAAGCCATATTGAGCCCTTACATGTTTTGGGTACACAATGTCCATTATGTATTATTACCCCATTTAATAGTTCAGCAAACCGAGGCTCAGAGATGGAGTAACTTCACTAAGGGGTGTCATTGTGGACTTGCAAACCCAGGTCTGACTGACCATGGTGCAGGATGTTCTCCCTAAGGACAGGGACTGTCTTCTCTGTAGACCCAGTGACTTGCTGCGGGCCCAGCTTGTAGGAACTCAGTACATTTGAGAGGCTTGAGTGGCAGCGTGGCAGTCTTTCTCTCTCCCCTGCAAAGTGCTCCCAGCTTTGGCTAGCCACTGGCTTCTCAGGGCCTCCAGGAGGGCAGCTAAGATCTAGTGTCTTGGGAATCCTCTGAGCAACGCTCTGAGAACAGTGGGTGATGGCCGGTATCCCTTTATCTATGGCCACAGTTCTCAACCAGGACGGCTTTGCTCCTCAGGGACTCTGGCGCTGTCTGGAGCCCTTTTTGGTAGCACAAGTGAGAGTGGGATGATGCTACTGGCATTTAGTAGGTGGACGCCAGGGATGCTAATGCTGCTAAATATCTTACAATGCACAGGCCAGCCCCCTGCCACAAAGAATTACCTGGCCCCATGTCAGTAGTACCAAGGTCAAGAGACCCTGATCCATAGTAAAAGTGCTATCACTCTGTGCCTTGCTTAGAAATATCTGGGCATGTGTCCCACCTTCCTGACTATGTTGTAGTTGCTGTGAAGACCTGCAGCTGATTTTTCATAGTATCCTCTCCACAGCTACCTCATTGGAATAAGTAAATGAATAAGACAAAGGATATGCCTTCCCAAAGCTAGCAGTCTTGTTGGGGACAGGATAGAAATGGTAGAATAGAATAAACAAGTAGAGTTCAGTGTGACATAGGGGGTGTCACCAACAATATGTGGGGGGCACCAAGTGAGTAATAGGGACTGGGTGATAGGAGTTAAGAAAGGGGGTTTACAAGATGCACCCTTTCTCCTCCCCTCCCCTCTCTTTCTCACCACTCTTCAAATAGAGATGTTAGGTCAAAATCAGGCTCTGAGGCTGCAGACTGTCAGAAGGTACCATAGGAGTTACCTAGCTCAATGCCCTCACTTTAAAATAGGGAAACAGAGGCTCTCTGTGAGCCAAGTTATTGATGAAATATTGGGTCCAGCTGGCTCCTTTTCCACCCTCATATCAGGAGCACAGATGCCTCTCTTACTGTGAAGTAGCTTCTTCATCCTAAACTCACCTCTGTTTTTTGTAAGACAAGAGCTTCAGACAAGACCAAGAAAAAGATGGGCCACTTGTATGACCATCTGAAAAAAAAATTCATGACAGACCAGCTCAGAAAGCTGGAGCGCTGGCGACGGGAATCCATGAATGTCCCGCAGTACCTGGATAGCATCCAAGTGTACAAGGAGCCTAACAAGAAAGACCAACCACCCTAGTCAAGGCAGAGTGGTCTGCCCTGGGGCCATGATGACACTAGGCTGTCGGGAGAAGAGCTGGAAGGGAGCCAGTCTACACTGTTGTAGAACAACAATAAATGAGACCAGTGGACAGTGGAGCACAAAACCCCTCAGCAATTCTAATATTTCTTGCCCTGTCCCATCCCCTCTTTTCTGGTGAAGGTGATTCTGATAGTCCTGTAGCTGCCCAAGTGGAAACAGCTGAATCGAACCAGCTTCCAAGGTTAAGGTATGACCTTTGGTACCCACATGTCTGGTACAATACCAGGCCAGGTGCACTGGGACAGTGGTACCTTGGATGGGAAGGGCTCGGTAATGCCGCTGCCTGGCATTCCAGTGGTAAGGAGTCAGGGTGGGGCATCAGGCAGACCTGGGTTAAGGGCTATTTCTGCCATCCGTCAGCTGTGTGACTTTGTAACCTCTCTGAGCCTCTGTTTCCTTATCCTAAAGGATGGGGAAGTAGTGCGGGAACCTACCTCCAAGAACTGGCATGAGGATGTGGAGCGCCTGGCCCGGGGCCTGTCATTCTCAGTGGCTCTCATCACGATGCCTGCAGTTAGCTTCCAGCCTTGTCAGTCCCCACTTCCTGGCCTGCCTGCTGTCCCAGCTATGCCCCGACAGCCCACGACATGCCTTTACTTGCTCAGGCTCCTCATCTAGAATGCCTCTTCAGCCCCTCAGGGCTCTCAGGAAGCTCTCTGCATCCTTCAATCCTTATCTCAATGCCATCCCCCCAACCCCACAAGCTTCTCTGACCGTCTTCTGCCTCCTGCCTGCCCCTCCCCCACCCTGCCCAAGCCACATGGGTTCCCCTCCACTCTGAACTTGGCTTACCTGTGGTGGCTTCACTCTGCCTTCCGTGGTAGATGTTTGGGTATTTGTCCCAGCCCTTGATTAGACTGTACAGTCTGACAGCGGGGGCCAAGGAGCCCCCAAAATTTAGTTCAGGCCTCTTCCGTGCCATTTCCCCCACCCAGCCCCACCAGAAAAGGCTGCTCCTTCCTGTGCCAACACATCTGTCTGCACTGAGCATGCAGTTGGACATTTCTTATTGCTCCCTGTCTCCCTGACCACATTGTGAATGTCTCGATGGCCAGGATGCTGACTCGTTCATCTCTGCAACCACAATGCCCAGTAACATTGAGTAGTTACTCTATGTTTTTTGAATAAATGTTCATTCCTTTGTTTAATTACAGCTTCAGCACAGTGCACAGAGTAAGGGCCTGGTACATATTTTTTTAAGTTAACCAAGTCCTCTCACTTTACAGATGAGGAAACTGAGGCCCAGAGAGGTGACCTGACTTGCCTAAGGTCATGCAGCAAGTTAGTGGCAGAGAACTAGAAGCAGGTTTCTCGACTGCCGTGGAGTGGTCATTCTGCATCACCACAGTTGCTAGGTAAGGACCTCAGTCCTCTTGGTGGCTTTCAGAAGCCCTCTTCATTCGTCCTCGTCCTCATCCAGGTGTGGGGAACCGGATGTCAATGATGCTTTTATTTTCCCTTTTTTTTTTTTTTTTTCCCCACTGTGTGGCATGTGGGATCTTATTAGTTCCCCAACCAGGGATCAAACCCACACCCCCCTGCACTGGAAGTGCCAGATTCTTAACCACTGGACTGCCAGGGAAGTTCCCTATTTTCTCTTTTAATGGTCTTCTTTTGAAAACATGATACTTTTCAGTGGGAGCCCAAGTAGTCTTTTTCTAGGTTTTTGTCTGTTTTCTTGGCTAAACACAACTGATTAGAATAATTGACTTTAAATATTTAAATTTTATTATACAAGCAATATGACCACATTTGCCCAAAACAAAAATTCTTCTATTAGATCAACCATTGCTAGCATTTTGATGTGTTTCTTATATTTTGTGTATTCATTTCATTTCAACAACAGTCTTTTTCCTTGGCACTGTACCTAGAGAAGGGGAAAGGAAGGCTTTGGGGATCCTGGTGTATTCAGAAGGCCCACAGAGCAGCCCCAGCCCCTCTTTTCTCCAGAGCGTCCCCAGGAATTCTCCACCTACTAGATCTTCCCTAATGCAGCCTCTCTGAGACTCACCCCAGTCTAGCCTCTGGCCACATGCACCCTTCTTCCCTAGACGGCTGGCCTTGGCAGAGGGTCTTTGCATCCTCATGCTGTGGCCCAACGGACTGGGGAACCCCTGGGAGTGGGGCAGGTGGGGGAGTTGGCATGTCAACCTAATAAGTCACTTTATAAGCCACTAACTCATCTCAGACTGTGTGGATTTAGTCTTCCCATTTTTGCATGAAAAAACCAGAGGATGTTGTATTTAAGTAAGGAACAAGAAGTGATGAAATTCTGGAGAAGCCGCCTAATTGTTGAGAGAAAAAAAAAAATAAAAGGGAAGGAAAATCAGTGAAGGAAGAATGGAGGAGTGTTGGATGGGAAGATATTATTTGAGAAATAGAATCCTGAAGCTAAGGAGGGCCTTAGGGATTCTTTAGTCCAGAGGACACACACACACACACACACACACACACACACACACACACACACACACACACACACACACAACACAACTCTTATTTCAAATGAGTCTCACCTGGAAGCCCATTCCAGTAAAACCACTGACATATTCACATTTATTGAGCACTCATATTCCAGGCACAAGGCTCAGCTCTTTTTAGACATGAGTCATTGATTCCTCCCAACAAAATGTAAGTAATTTTCTTAGCCCCGTTTTATAGATGAGAAACTGAGGCTCAGAGAGCAAGAATCCCACCTAAGATTGGGCAGCTAGTAAGTGACAAAGCCCACCTCAAGCCTGTCTCATCCAAAGACCATCTTCTAAGTGCCATGTGATAAGCTCCCAATCTTTATCACTCTAGTTGGAAGTGGAGGCTAGGGACCCTGAGCCCTTGGGAACATGAGTTCACAGACGGTGATGTGGAGCCTCAGCTGTGTTGTCAGCTACCTGAGGTTAGGTGTTTCACAGAGAGCTGGACTAAACTCCAGGTCCCCCTTCTACCAGGTAGCTAAGGAGAACTTGTCACCCATTCTGGGATGGACAGACTGTTAGGGAGAGGTAGGCTGCGTTAGCTGTGGATGAGGCACATGCCCACCCAGGAAATGGAAGAACAGAACACAGGAGTCCTGACCATTGCCCATTAGCTATGTAAAGATGTTTTCAGTTTTGTCCTCAGGAAACCTTTGTGTAATATCCTTTGTGTCTGAAGAACCGTGCTGATGGCAGGGGGCAGATGAATGATGCTCTTTTAATGGGATTGAGTGTTTTGGGTGTACCTTTAATTCTTGCTGAAGACACATTTCCTTCCCTCCTCCCCTTTCACCACATGCATGTCACTCCTTTAGGGTACTTGAAAAGCCTTCCCAGTTTAAAAATCTTGCTAGGTGCACAGTGGACCTAGTTCCTTCTCCAGAGTTCTTCATGACCTGGAACAAAGGGAGGGAACTTCTGTTTACCGAGCACCTGTTACATGCAAGGCATTTTATATCCTACCTCATTCAGTCCTCACAACTGTACTCTTCAGGTATCACGCCCACTTATAAGGTGAGGAAACCGAGGCACAGGCTAAGGAACTTACTTGGAGTCGCTAGGTTTGAACCAGGGTGTGAGATGCATAAGGCGTGCTCTTTCCACGCCACCTGGCTGCCCCAGTGATGCTCGGCTTCATTGCAAGCACCGCCCTCAATTTCAGCCATTGTCGGCTGCAGGAACTGCTCTGTGAGGGATGCCCATTCATGGCCCTGGGCCCTGACTTTCCTCCTAGGCTACCACTGTTGGCCATGTGGTTAGTGACATGGCAGGGAGGAATTCTTGGGTGAGGACTCGTTCCCCTCATTGGCACGTCCCAGCTCCAGGCTGTCAGGCAGGGGCAGTGGCTTCAGATCCCAGCAGGTGGATGTGGAGCAGCCTACCAAGGGGCTAGGCAGCTAGAATTATAGGGGCAGTTAGTCAGGGAGCAGGGGAGGCAGTTGCAGCTAAGAGTGATCCCAAAGTTCTTACATATCCACCCCATCCATCTATCCACATACCCATCCACCCATCCACTCACTTATCCATCTGTCCACGTGGCACTTCACCCCACAATCAGAACACAGAGGTGGAGAAACTGATTTTCTTGTTTGCTGTGACACCTCTCACTTATCCCAATCATTGTGGGGAAGTGGGGTGACCTGCCGACTGGGAGTGCCTCTGCCCTGATTCACTCCAACCTTGGGCAAGGCACATCTCCACGCTGAGAGTTTGGGGAGCTGGAAAAACCTCAGAGCTGCCTCACGCAGGCCCTTTCTCTTATTTCATCAACGGGTGACAGAGGCAGAGAGTGGGGAACTGACTTGCCAAGGTCAGATAAAGAATTAGTGTTGGATGTGGGACTGGATGCCAGGGCGCTGCCACTCATTTGTAAAGTGGGAATGGGAATCCTGGCTCTCCTCACTTCCTGGGATTGTAGGGAGGACCCCACGAGATAAGTGGTGGCAAAGTGCTTTGAGAAGTGAGGTCACCAGGGCAGAAAGTCCCAGAGGTGCAACCAAGGCCCCAACTGCTTGGCCAGCACAGATCCCACAATGACCACAAGGGGTCAGCAGACGCATGTGCACTCAGCTGGGATCTGCTGGAAGGCGCATACCTGTGAGCCAGGGCCTGGGAGGGAGACCAAATCATTTAATTCCTGGAGACCCCTAGCACAAACAAGAGGATGGATGCATCCCAGCCCAGCCCATTGTTGAATCGGGAAGTGTTACTCGGGTATTACAATTCAGAGCCTGGTCCAGCCGCTGACTCCGGAACTCTGCAGGGCTTTGAGGGCTCAGGGGGCTGGGCCAGGAGCAGGCCTTGACTGGGACCCCCTGTCTCCCCCAGTAACCTTTCTCTGGGCTTCAGCTCTCTAACCTGCAACTGTTCCAAGGGGGGTGGTGCTGGTGGCTGATGTCTGCACTTCCTTCTGTTCTCAAGCCTGGGATGTGGCACAGAGCTTTGCACACATAATGATCCATAAATGTCCGCTGAGTAAATGGGAGCAACTCCTGCCCCGAGCAAAGCCAGAAAAATCCAGGTCAGCTTGTGGCCACAGATACAAATGTAGATGCTGGTTTTTGTCTCCTTTACCCAGGAAAAGAGATGCACAAGCTAAGAGGGAGGCAGGGCAGCATGTAGCTAAGAGCACAAATTTGGAAGGAAGGCCTCAGTTCAAATCCCAGGTCAGCTGCTTTCCAGATCTATGCCCCTTAGCAAGTGCCCTGTAAAATAAGCTGGTGTAGATTTCCTCTGCTGTTATGTAATTAGATCTGGCTTACCTCTTGTCCCTTTGCCGAATGAGAATATCTGGCTGGAAGCTCTGCCTAGGGCAGAGAAATAGCAGAGTCAGGAGGGCTGTGTTCTGTGGTGCCAACATCCACTATGCAAGCCCTTGCTGACCTCAGGTGTTTCATTCAGTTTCTTTAGAGAAGAGACATGTTTTCTGCCTGGGAGAAATGTTACCTGCACTTTGCAAACTTCAGTGTAGAGAGGGGTAGGGCAGTGGGCTGGAGCAGTTATCCTCCCACCCCCCCCACACACGCCCCCGCCGTCCATGCTCCAGGTTGTATGTGAGTCTGTTTATTATGCACTGAGCAGATATGAAAGGATATTGGAAAATATGTGTACAGCATACAAATAATACAAGAGACCCATGGGCTCACAAACCTGTTTGAGGAATAAAATCCCCCATTTTAGTTCCCTGTTCTCACTCCTACCCTCTGCCATAACCTGTTGACTTTGAGCCCAAAGCTTCCCTGGATTCTCTCAAGCCAGCTGGCTCCTACCTCCTCTTTAGCTGGCTTAGACAATGTTCTCAGCTGCTGCTTCCACCTGTTTTGCTCATAAGAGTTCTCATCCTCTTTCCATATTCTAAGCACTTGTTGAAATCTCTCATTCATCAGTGATCCAGCTTTCTTTCTTTCTTTTTTTTGGCCATGCCACGGCATGCGGGATCTTAGTTCCCCGATCAGGAATCAAACCCATGCTCCCTGCAGTGGAAGCTTGGAGTCCTAACCACTGGGCTGCCAGGGAATTCCCTCAGTGATCCATCTTTATTTAAAATTGAAACACCCCCAACATGGCCTTCCCAAGCTCTCTTAACTGTTCTCTTTTTCTCCATGGCATGTCACCTTCTAAATGATTTATTTGGTATATTTCTGTCTGTTCTTACTAGAATGTAAGCTCCAGGATGGCAGGAATTTTTGTCAGATTTCTTTCACTGCTCAATCATCAGGGCCTAGAAGAAGACTTGGCATATGATATGAATTCAATGAACATTTGTTAAATAAAGTCTTCTTTCTATTTCTATTGCTGTTGAATGCTTAGTACTTTTGGAATTTTTTATACTTTTGTTTCAGTGGGGTCTCTTTGGGTCTCAAGAAAGATGGAAGGCAAACATGGGTTCTTGTCAGATACCCTGAGCTAAAAGTCTCAGTGTCAGTGGTCCTTAATGTGGAGGGATCATGGACCCTTTTAAGATTATGATGAAACCTACCACAAATCGGCACTTACACTTAAAATTTACGTATAATTTATGAAAACCATACACTCATCTTAAGGACCTGTTCTCTTAGAACATTTCTGGAAAGATGTGTAGAAACTATCAACACACTAGCCCCAGAGAGGAGGAAGAGGGGAGTTCTTCTTTCATTATATATCCTGTATACTTCAGTTCTATATAGTGCAAGCATTACAATTTCAAAGTTTTAGAAACCAGTTAAATATTTTAAAGAAACCTATGTTCTAACCCCTTGGGGTGATCACAAGCTCACACGTGTTCAGGGGCTAGGGAGGTCAGTGCACGTGGCTTTAGGACAATAGGCAGAGGTGGGAGCTGTGGCTAAACGGAGCTTGCACACCCCACCCCAAGATGCTTAAATGCAAATGGCATGAAAAACATGGTGTTGATCAAACTTTTCTGGCCTGTTTTTTTAAAAAATATATTTATTTATATTTATTTTTGCCTGCGTTGGGTCTTCATTGTTGCCCGCGGGCTTTCTCTAGTTGCGGAGAGCGGGGGCTACTCTTTGCTGCAGTGTACGGGCTTCTCATTGCGGTGGCTTCTCTTTTGGCAGAGCGCCGGCTCTAGGCGCACGCGGGCTTCAGTAGTTGTGGCTCACAGGCTTAGTTGCTCTGCAACATGTGGGATCTTCCCACACCAGGGCTCTAACCCGTGTTCCCTGCAGTGGCAGGCGGATTCTTAACCACTGCACCACCAGGGAAGCCCGGGATACATTCTTCAAAATCAGTGATGTTTAACCTTTCTGGGATCCCATGGAAACTAGGGACCTTCCCCCTAGGAAAATGCACAGACAGGTAAAACTCCACAGGCTACTGCAGCATCTTCACAGACCGCCAGCTAAGATTACCCAGGGATGTCCAGGAGCTCCAAGAACTTTGCTTTTGGATGCGTTCCTTGTACTAAAACGCTCGGCTTACTAAACTTTCTCTATTCCTTTAGAGAGCCTGAACTATGTTGTCACTTGCGGCGAAGTGCCCTGGCTGAAGCAGAGGCCAGCTGGCCCAGGTGGTGGTGCGGCGGTGGCTTCGGGCCCTGAGCCTGGTGGCAGCGGGAGGGACCCATAGACAGGTAATGGCTGCCATGAGGGGAGGTGGGCGTCCTCCTCAGCTTTTAGAGTCATCCGGCTGGGCCCCTGCGCTTCGGGCGCATGTTCTGGGTTTTGATGAGCGAACTTGCCCGGGTCAGAGGCGGGGAGCTCCGGCGCGGGGCCCGCGAACAGAGCTGCGCTGGGAGCCGGCGGGCTCCGCATTCATCATTGTTCCCACAGCGCCTGGCACGGGTTGGGGCGCAGGCAGGGATGGTGGTTCGAAGCGCGCCGTCCGTTCCGCGTCGCCCGCTCGCCGAGCTCTCGCCCCCCAAGCGTTTCCTGGGCGCCTTCCAAGGGCCAGCCCCGGAGCCGGGAGTTGGCGACGCAAGGGAGGGACGAAAGTCCAAGTCCAGCCCGCTGCACGCCTGGGTGCAGGAGCATGCTGGCGAAGGCGGCGCGAGGCGCACTGGCAGCGGAGAGACCCGCGCGCGGCCCCGCCGCGCGTTCGTGACGGTGCCCCCGGCCCCGCCCCAGGCCTCCGCCTCTTGCTTCCCCCCTCCCCCCGGCTCAGCCGCGCTCCGGTCGACTGGCTCCATGGGGAAAGCGGCCGCTCTGTGCCGAGGCGGTGGCTGTGGCGGCCGCTCCCGCGGGCTCTCGTCGTTCTTCACGGTTGTCCCCTGCCTGTCCTGCCACACGGCGGCGCCGAGCATGAGCGCTTCCACGCCCGGCTCCGAGCCGGAGCCCAAGCCTCAGCACCAGGCGGTGCCCCAGCCCAAACGGGATCTGGTGTCAGAACAGGTGTCGGAGCCAGTTTCTGAGCCGGTGCCAGGATCGGAGCCTGAGTCCAGGAAGATGTCTGAGCCAAGGCCAGGGTTCAAACAGGAATTGGAACTGCTGCAGGGGTTGGGGACCGGGTCAGGTCCCCGGGAAGAGTTGGGCTCAAGCTTGGGGGCTGGGCCCTTCACCGAGGCCCCATCCGAGCAGGTGCTGGCGCTGGGGCCAGTAGTGGGGAGCGTGCCCTTGACCAAACTCGAGTCCGGGTTGTTGCCGGCATCAAAGGCCCCGCGACCAGGGCAGGTGAAGACACATCTTGGGGCTCCAGTGCCAGGGAGTGGCACGCCCTCCGCTCTCCCGATGGTCTCACTTCCTCTGGACAGCTTCAAGGGCTGGCTTCTCAAGTGGACCAACTACCTGAAGGGCTACCAGCGCCGCTGGTTCGTGCTCAGCAACGGCCTCCTCTCTTACTACAGGTATGGAAGTGTCAGGGTGGGTTGGCTGAGTTTGGAGGGTGGTGATGCTGCAGCCATGGTGACAGAGGGCATCCAGAGTTGGAGGGCACTGCCATTGGCCTGGAGATGTTTGGGAACTCGCACTCCAGCAGGAGAAATGCCTCTGGCCAACCTTCAAGGGCTGGGGCCCTGACCTCAGGCAGGGGAGCCCCTATGGACATGACCTCTGGCAAGCTTGGGTCTAGGGAGTGAGCAGTGACGTTGGAGTGAGGGAGTGATTTGGGACCTTGGGACCCCTCTGGTCCTGGTAGTTGTGGGACCTGGAGCAGCCAGCCAGAGTCAGCCCCCAAAGTCCTTGATTCAGGAGCTTTCTGGTTCAGGAGCTAAGATCACTGTATAAGGACTGAGGGGGACAGTAACCTTGTTCAGTCCTTGGGACCCACTCATGGGAAGGGCTCCTGCTCCCTCCTCAGTTGGTCAGACTATTTCCCACTTTTCCTGGTGCCTGCTGGTTGCTGGGCCTTGGCCTGGGGGCATAGCAGGCTCACAGACACATCAGACATGGCTTCTGCCCTTCAGGAGCCCATCTTGGCATTCAGTGGAGAACCAGGAAGCATCCCACTGTGGCCTTTCTTATTCTAGAAGCAGTGTGGGATTCAACAGTGAAGTCCAGTGGTGAGATAGCTAACACTGTGTTCCACTGAAATGGATTGAAAGGGGGAAAGATCCTGAAGGCCGTCTAGGTATGTTTCCTGGGGATGGTTTAAACTTTGAGATCTCTGATCACTCTATACTATCAATTCTCAAACCTGAGTGAGCACTGGAATTCCCTGAAGGGCTTACTGAAACATCAAGTGCTCAGCCCCCCTGCTGAGTTTCTGCTGCAGTGGGTGTAGAAGGGGCCTGAGATTCAGCTTTTCTAACAAGTTCCCAGGTGATGCTGCTCTGGACCACAGTTTGAGAAGCACAGCTCCATTGTCATTGCAAACAGGAGGGCCCTGCCATTCTGTTTGCTGAAGCTCGGGTCACTTTGCTCACTTCACTTGGCTGGGCAGTATCTCTTCAGGTCAACCACCAGAGCATTTATATGGTCCTTCCTCGCCTTTTTGGAGCACAGCTTCTAGAGGTTAGTTGAATCTGTGATGCCACTGAGAATTTGGGAGCTCCACTGAACTTAAGTGATGGTCCCCACTCAAAGTGGGGATCACTGTCTTTAATTCCTGGCAGGGGAGAAAGCTGACCTGTGTTTCTATAAATTTATTTATTTTATTTATTTTATTTTTGTGTTGGGTCTTCATTGCTGCGCACAGGCTTTCCCTAGTTGAGGTGAGCGGGGGCAACTCTTTGTAGCGGTGTGTGGGCTTCTCACTGCGGTGGCTTCTCTTGTTTCGGAGCACAGGCTCTAGGCGCGAGGGCTTTAGTAGTTGCAGCACGAGGGCTCAGTAGTTGTGGCTCGCCGACTCTAGAGCACAGGCTCAGTAGTTGTGGCACATGGGCTTAGTTGCTCCGCGGCATGTGGGATCTTCCCGGACCAGGGCTCAAACCCATGTCCGGTGGATTCCTAACCACTGCACCACCAGGGAAGCCCTGACCTGTGTTTCTAATGTGTTCATCTCATGTGGTGTCGTTGGTGCCCCTCGGCCCACTTGGCTGCACCATACAGATCACAGGACAGAGTGTTCTTAGAATTTGGCAACTGAGCAAAAAGAGATCCTTTTCCGAATGGTGTTTTTATCCCACTTCCCATACTCCGTCAAGTGTGTAAACATTTCACCAAGGCATACAATGATAGGGATCATCATCATGATTTGCTATAAATAAGTGTCACTCTGTCTCATAGGCAAGGGACATAACACATAGGGCATGTCGACTGTGGACCACACTCTCTGCTTTATGTTATGTTCATTTATTTCATCCTTGAAATCACACTGTGAGGTGGGTTCCAGGATTGTACAAATGAGGAGTTCTGAAGTTTGCCAGAGGGATGTGGCTTGTCCAAAGTCACTGGGCAGGGTAGGCAGTAGAGGGAGATTCTGACCTAGGCCCTTTGCACTCCAAAGTCTGTGCCTGTCCCAGATGTGTGTCCTAATGCCTGTTCATCCTTGAGTTCAGCATTTCTGAGTTATCTGCATTTTACCAGGTACTACTAGGGGGCAGTAGTTGAGGTCAAGGTAATGTTTATGAGTCTAGGGTCCCACAGTGGCAGGAAGGCCTAGTTCTAGTGGAAGTAAAATCTGACCTTATGTATTTTTGTTTTATTTTAATTGGAAGAGCAAAAAAGTCCCTCTTTTTTTCTTAAGGTAACTATGTATAGACAGTTAGCATTTCAAGATTATCTCAAAAGTACAGATTCTCTGGGTAATTAAGAAAAATTCTTCTTGCTTGCTGATAAGGTTGTGGGGACAAATACTGGTTTTGTGGGGAGAAGGGGTTGGGGACAAGTTTTCTTGTTGTGTGCTTTCACAGTCCAGCTCTGTAGTTTCATTTGTGGACATTTCTAGATTCCAAGGTGGGCAGAATTGTTGCTTGACTCATTTGGGTAGGATGAATGATCCCTGACATTTGTACAGCCCTCCCCCTCCTTTATCCCCATGTGAGGCTGGCCACGAAGACATCTTCATTCCCATTTTAGAGGAAGGCAAACTGAGGCCGAAGGAGCAAACTTTAGTGGTGTATCCTGAGGCACCCAGCTTGCGGGCTGGGCCTCCAGTGCCACAGGAGTTGAGTCAATCTCCAAGTGCAGAAAAAGCCCTTCCGAGGTGGAGCTGGAATCACCATTTCTCCCTGCACTCCAGTTCTGCCTTCTGGAAGACGGCTTTGGTCTGCTCTTCTTCGGGCCTTGCAGCACTTCAGATGTTTGACACCACTCTCCTGTCCCTGCTTCTGGTCTGAATCCTGCCTTCCAGACCAGGCCTGGCTGTCCTGCCTGCTGGGCTCAAGGACTGAGCACCCTTTGGGCCTGCCGCTCCCAGTCCTGACAGCGCAGGTTATCCAGGGTTCCATTTGCACCCAGCGGCGGGCATGGGTCACCTCCTCCAACCTGCCCCAGACCCCCAGTTCTCAGTAGTTCTCCAAGTGTGTGTGCTTGGAATAGAGGCAAATTCAGGTGCTCGGAGCTGCAAACAGAATGAGAGAACTTTTATTCATCATCTCCTTTCCTTAGGGGTCAGGTAGAGTCAGCTTTAGTCCTGGGATGACAGCTGGGGAAGGAATCAGAGGGGCTTCTCTTGCTAGCTTCCCTTTTGGAAAGACCACTTTCAAATTTTTTTCTTTTAATTAAGTGAAGTCTGGTGTTTGGAGAAAATGCGGGCACGTGTCTTGTTCCCTCTCCCTGATCCCATCTTCCAGCCTTCCCCCCTCCAAGATAACCATCATCCCAAATCCTGATCCCTGTCCACTTTCTTTTCTTTTTATTTAGTTTTATCTAACATATATGCAATTAAAAAAAAAACCACATTGTTCATTTCAACCATTTGAAACTTTATAAAAAAGCATATTGTACAGCATATGATTTGGGGGGACTAATTTTGACTGCTTTATAACAGCCCAGGACGTGAGCGCCGTTTTTACTTATTTGTGCTCCTCTTGATGGGTGACTACAAAAATGCTTGTACATGTGCGGGCGTTCCTCTTGGGTGAAATCACTGGGTTGTGGAGAATGTGAATGCCAAACTCTTCTCCAAAGCAGTTGTGTCAATTTATAGTCCCACTGGCAAGAAATAAAGAGATTTTTGTGGATCTCTATCCTTTGCAGAACTTGGTATTGTCAGCATTGATTTTGCCAATTAAATGGTTATTGCACTGTAGTCTTGAGCTGCATTTCAATCTCCATTATTTTTACTTTGTTAGATAATCAGTGGGGGTTTGGATTAGAATTTCTCCATTAAGTATCGCTTCCTCGAGTGCTTCTGCCCTAGATTTTGCTGGAAAAGCTCATTTGATTGCTCAAGTTTATTCTAAGGGAGAAAGTACATACTGCCAACAGCTGGGCTTAGTAAATTTTTATTATCAAGAATAAAAAGATGCTCTTTGTAAATACTGTCACATATAGAAAGTATTTCTGGGAGGTATGGGTAATTGTTGGTAGGTTTTTACTTCTTTCCAACAATGTGCTAGGAATATAAATACAGGAGACGAGGTTCTTATTCCATTGCCTGGCACTCTTAATTCCATATCTATTTGAATGTTCGAATACCAATAAGGGGAATATGGTTTTGCAGGAATATGGTCTTTTTTTTTTCTTTTTTGGTTGTTAGTTCCCATTTAAAAAATTTAATCCCCAGTTCTTATCTCCCAGGGAACATGGAAGAATTCATAAATGATGCAGAATTTTCAAAGGTATTAGCCCCAGCAAGTTCTTATGGAAAGAGTGTTTCAAACATAAGTTTTATCCACATTGATGACAAGATTGATTTGATTAAACAAAGTTCTGTTTTGTTGTATACAAGTTGCCTGTTTGGCGACATTATAAATGACATCTATTTCCCAGGAAATGATTTCAAACAAAATATGAAACAAAAATGTTTTGTTTTAATTTATTATTGTTCAGACTGATATATGGGTAGGAATGGCAAAGCCAGTTAGCAAGGAAGGGCTCAAAGAAATTAGTCTGGGTCTATAAGAAAGAAGGCTACAGTCAAGTGAAAGTAAGTTTTGAAAGTCCTCTGGCTGAGGAAGCCCACTGAACATATGGTGAGCTGGGCCCACTTTGGGGTGGTGGCCAAGACATCTTTGCCTCTAGAATGGATCAAGTACTCCTTCCTCCAGTGGGGCCAACTCTCAAAGGCAAACTCTATGGAGACAGTATTTTTTTTTTAAATAAAGTTTTATTGGAACACAGTCATGCCCATTCATTTTGTCTGTGGCTGCTTTTTTTTTTTTGGCTGCACGGCTTGTGGGATCTTAGTTCCCTGACCAGGTATCGAACCTGGACCCCCAGCAGTGAAAGCACAGCGTCTTAACCAGTGGACCACCAGGGAGTATTTTTAATATCAGTTTAGGTGATGCTTGAAGGATGGAGA